AATGAAACTCCTGTCTCTCCTACTTCTACTCAAACCTGGTCCTCTTGTGTTCTGTATCATTAGTGACACTTCTTTGTCATTTTTTTCTTCTTCTACAACATCCATCATAGCCATACCCCATTTACATTCTAAGACCCTGATCTCTCATTTGAACTAATGCAGTAGCCTTTTAACTGGTTCACTACCATTCATATAGTACTCTCTCCATATTGTCTGCTATAACAGTTCGCAGAGTTTTTTCTAGAGGGCATTAATAAGAATACTTGGGGAAAAATTAAATTTGAGTAACCTTAGTTTAAACAAAATTAAATTTTATTTTTTACTTTAGGGTATCAAGAACTATGAAGGGTCTGAGCTTTTACTTGACTTGCAAGCTAACAAGGTTGCCTGCCACAGTTTCATAGATGCTGGCAGAAGACATGACACTCCTGGGTCAGAGTTAAAGGACTTTATTACTCACAGCAACAACAGTATCCAAAGTATCAGCACTTTATTGCACTGGTTCCCCAAGCCCCACTTCCCATAGGATATTGCAAAGAGGGACAATGTGTTGCATTATGGGAGAGGAACTCCAAGCTTTGGGAACCCAAATCTTCTATAAAGGGTAGTAAGCATGTGTGCCCTTTGCTTTGGAGGGAGACTCTATCTCTATACTCTAAGGCTATACAAACATCCTTGAGAAGATCATCCAGAAGAGAGGGAGTCAGTGCCTCTGCTTGCAAGATTTGCAGAAACATGAGAAACCCATGGAGAATTGTCTCCCAACACAGGACTTCTCATAGACTTTAACATGCTGATATGTGTTATACCTTCCATTCCAGCAGTGGGCTGTAATATGCAGAATTTCCCCGATTATTGGACCAATTAATGGAGCATTTTGGCTAGATTCTGTGGAACATGCATTTGGAAATAGTGGCATATAGACTAAAGCCAAATTCCTTAGTCTTCCTCACTTCATGCACTCTTTACTCCAAACACATAACCACCTTTCCCATAATTATATTATGTCATACACTGTCTTATTTCCGGATTGTTGATTGTTTTCTGCAACATGAAATATCCTTTCTCCCTTGCTGCCTTTGTCTCCCCTCTCAAAATTATGCTTACCCTTTAAGCCTCATTTCAGATAACTCCCTTGAAGCCTTTTCACATCCTCCAGATGAAATGTGAGACATCCCTTTTCTTGTGTTGTTGTGCTACTTTCCTTATTTTTCTATTATACATTTATCCACATTCTATCTTATAGTAAAATTAGCTCTATAGTTGTTTGACAGCCCCTCTTAGAATATAGTTGCTTACTTAGGAGCAGAGCCAACATCCTGTAGCTATCAGTGCGAGCACATAATGGATGTTCAGTAAGTGTTAAACAAATGGCTTAATGTTCCCATTTTACAATACGTCATTGTGCTAGTCATATTCCAGTCTCACACAGCTCCATAAATCAAAATCAGTATATTTATAAAATATGCTACAACCTAAAAGGTTACTTCATTTAGGCTTTACTAAACCAAAGGAAATAATTTATAGAGTTTAAGAAATTGCTTTCTCATTCCCTACTATTCAAGCTGGGATTGTTTTGGAAATGAAAAATTATCATTCCATTTATTATAACAAGGTATGCATAAAGAATTTCTGTTAGTGATTTGTAAAAATACAAAACCAATTTTCTTCTACCTCAAATAGCTTTTAATATCAATGCCCATTTTAGAGCTATTTTTAGAGTTAGCAGTATAAGGATGGAAGTATGTCCATCTGCGGAAGAAATTCAAATCTTTCTCCAAATAACAGTGTCATGTGCCACAGTATACAAAAGCTAAGCATGGATGAAAATTGATACTACCAAAAATAGTACATCTTATTTTGGCTCATTAACGTCAAGGATTTTCAAAGCCTACAAGATTTTAAAAAAATTTTTAGTTGTGAGAAAGTATACATAACAGAAAATGTTCTGTCTTACCCATTCTTTTTTTTTTTTTTTTAAGATTTTATTTATTCATTTTTTCCCCCCAAAGCCCCAGTAGATAGTTGTATGTCATAGGTTCACATCCTTCTAGTTGCTGCACGTGGGACTCGGCCTCGCGTTGGACGGAGAAGTGGCGCCTTGGGGCTTGCCCGGGATCCGAACCCGGGCCGCCAGCATCAGAGCGCGCTCACTTAACCGCTAAGCCACGGAGCCGGCCCTGTCTTACCCATTCTTAAATGTACGGTTCAGTAGTGTTGAGTACATTCACAATGTTGTGCAACCAGTCTCCAGAACTCTTCATCTTATAAAACTGAAACTCTTTACATGTTAAATAACTTCCCATTCTCTCTTCCCCAGTCCCTGGCAACTACCATTCTACTTTCTGTCTCTATGAATTTTACTACCGTAGTTACCTCATATAAGTGGAATCATATAGTATTTGTCTTTTCGTGACTGACTTATTTCACTTAGCATAATGTCCTCAAAGTTCATCCATGTTGTAGCATGTGTCAGAATTACCTCCTTTTTAAGGCTGAATAATGTTGCATTGTATGCATATACCTCATTTCATTTATCCATTCATCTGTTGATGGACACTTGGGTTACTTCCACTTTTTGGCTATTGTGAATAATGCTGCTATTAACATAGGTGTACAAGTATCTCTTTGAGACTCTGCTTTCAGTTCTTTTAGATATATACCCATAAGTGGAATTCCTAGGTCACATGATAGTTCTATTTTTAATGATTTTTAGGAACCTCCATACTGTTTTTCATAGCAGCTACACCATTTTACATTCCCACCAACAGTGCCCAAGGGTTCCAGTTTCTCTACATCCTCACCAACACTTATTTTCTGTTCTGTTTTTTTATTTTTGTTTTTTAATAGTAGCCATCCTAATGGGTGTGAAGTGGTATCTCATTGTGGTTTTGATTTGTATTTCCCTAATGGTTAGTGATGTAGAGCATCTTTTCCTGTGCTTGTTCACCATTTGTATATCTTTTTTGAAGAAATGTCTATTCAAATCCTTTGCTCAGTTTTTGATCAGTTTGGTTTTTTTGTTGTTGACTTGTAGGAGTTCTTTATATATTCTGGATATTAACCCCTTATCAGATATATGATTTGCAGATATTTTCTCCCATTCCATATGTTGCATTTTCACTCTGTTGTGTCTTTAGCCTGCAAGATATTTTTAAAGAGCTGATTTTGTATAAAGATGTTATAGTAGTAATCATGGAAATACAAATTATAATAATGGTGATATACAATATTTACCCATAAGATCAACTTTTGGTAAGAATGTGAGGAAACAGATACTTTCCTACATTGATGGGTAGAAATATAAATTTGTATAACCACTTTGGAAGGCAAGTTGGCTGTATCCATTTTAATTTAAAATCTTTCTGCCCTATGACCTAACAATTCCATTTCTAGAGAAACACTCTCACATGTACACAGGGAGATATGTACATGGCTGTTCATTGCAACATTATTTTTAATTGGAAAAAGGAAAAAAAAACTAAAATTCCAACAATAGCATAATTACTTAGTAAACTATGAGAGTGAGGTTGATATATATGTACTGTCATGGATAGATCTCTCAAACCTAGTTGAAGAAAAAAAAGCAAATTGCAGAATGATACATTTAATATACCATTTGTGTTGAAATAAAGCAGACATAAAGCAATATTATATGTTTTCTGTTGTACACATGTATATGTGTATATGAATACACATGTATATGAATAAATTCATAAAGGTCTAGAAATGGTAACAGTGGCTGCCAGAATGGACTGGGATTGGTCCTTATAACCCTGTACTTTTTTTAAAAATTTCATAAGGGACATGGATTCATATAGTACCTGGTTTTTTTAGACATTTATTTTTTTTTAAATTCAAAGATGGTAAAACTAAACAAACATTGCAGAGTTTGGCCTAAAATTTGGGCAGCAGTGTGGTGGGGTGAACACTGTCCAGGGTCTGGTTCTCAGCTTTGCAGACTCAGGAACTGAATTTTAACAGTGTGGCCAGAATTTATCTAGCTCTGGAGTCTTTGTGCACACTCACCAAACCATAAAAATCCACGGACATTGGTAACCAAAAGGCTATTCCATTAATTCATTAATTCACCCTATTATACTGCCAAGAAGACCAAAATAGTCATATCCACTAATCAGTATACCCTCTCTCCTTATGGAAAAGTCTAAAAAATTACTGTTAGAAGGGTTTTATTTTGAGTATAAAATCAAAGCAAGGGAGCTGGATTATTTTATTTGCTGATGTCTTTAAGTTATAATTGTCTTATACAAGCCAATTTCCATTATAGGGTACCTGCTTAGGGAACCTGAATGCTTGCATCTATTGGTCAGCATCTTTTCCCTGGACTTAGTCAGACTTTCTGTTTTCCACGAGTACACTTATACCATGTCAAGAAAGATATAATGCAGATGAGTTGGTCATGATTTCTTTACCTTAGCAGTTCCATTGTTGTCTTCTTAAGCATACCATGGTCTCATGATAGAGAATACAGAAATGTGATGCTTATCAGTAAACATTCGTGAACCTTTTAGAATTGACTATTTCTGCATATGGCTACCATTTTGTATTGGTTTTCACTGCAATTTTAGAGCACTATCTTATCCTGATCTTGTTTCCTCCAAATTGAGATTGTACTCTATTTGGAGCATACCTCAGCTACATAAGGCAATTTTAGTTCTCATAAATGTGTTCTTTTTTGCAAAATCTCTGAACAGATTAAAATGTTTGCAGTATGGGAGATTTTCCATTCTAAAGGAGTAAAATGTAGGTTTCTTAGCTGAGAATTTATATTTGGTTGGTAAAGTATAATACTTAAGATCATAGGGAGCCTTGGGTTTGAATCCTGGCTCCAGCACTTACCACTTTACTTAGGCAAGTCACTTAACCTACCTAAACTTGGGCTTCCTCATATTTGTAAAATGCCTAAATTTCAAGATAATATTTGCTGTTAAGATTATTCTCTTGGTAACTTATATTTTCACGGACTACTTTTTATTCAGCTAAACATGAATTCAGCTCCAACTTTCATCAACTTTCCTGCAAAAGGGAAACCCAAACGGGGTGATACATATGAGTTGCAAGTGCGCGGTTTTTCAGCTGAGCAGATTGCCCGGTGGATTGCTGACAGAACCGATGTCAATGTAAGCTTCCCTACTTTGTAAAAAGTTACTTTGCCGTTATCCACTTTGAATCTTACTAGGAGGTCCTAATTGGTCTTGTCCCCACATCACTGAGGTGGTAATAGTTTGGCAGTCCCTTCATAAGTAGCATTTAACAGAATCATCCTGATGAAAGAGTGAAATTACAAAACATCCTCTATTACCTTATTGAATTCAGCATGGAAACCACTCTTTACCTTACCAAGTCCGTGAACTATCTAGTTTGTACTTGGCAAATACTTCTTAATCTAAAAGATGTTATGTTGTGGTTAAACAGAATATTGTAGCTATTCCATCCCATTTTAGGATACATTGTAGGCTATTTTGATTAGGTTGAAAAGAAAAAAGTATAATTTTTCCTAAAAGTAACCATACTAATTTTGATTGCTTTCATTTCAAATTATTTTGACCTATATGATTAATGAATAGATTTCATACTTTAAAATGTTTTTCTCTCCTTTCCATTAGATTAGAGTAATTAGACCCCCAAATTACGCTGGTCCCCTTATGTTGGGATTGCTTTTGGCTATTATCGGTGGACTGGTGTATCTTCGAAGAAGCAATATGGAATTTCTCTTTAATAAAACTGGATGGGCTTTTGCAGCTTTGGTGAGTGAATTTTAGAAGAAAAATTGAGTAAAACTTCTAATATTCTATTGTTAGGTAGCATTTTGTTTATTTCTTACCTGTGGGAAAGGATTTTCTATATCTTTATTTTATGCTTTAAAATCAGTTTGTTTCCTCTATTATCTCATTAGGATGGCCAGAGCTTGGAGGAACTGATTATACCCAGTTTTTATTCAACCTAGATGATAGACTGTTACCCCTATGATAATCTGCAATTCTTTTGAAAATAGTCTTCTAAAAGGCTTTTCAATATTCACTTTTGAAACTTGTGTCAGCTTCTTTATAATTTAATATAGTCTTTTCCTTTTGAAGTAAATATTATTGATTCTTGTGATCCTTGTGGTAAAATATAAGGCTTAATCAAGAAATCATTCTTCTGAAAAACTTTTCTTCATGTATTATTTGAGCAGACGTACTTTTCATATACCTAATCAAAGTGGGAACAGCTACAGCATGTTATATGAATATTTCATTATTTTTTGTTTCCTAGTGTTTTGTGCTTGCTATGACATCTGGTCAAATGTGGAACCATATAAGAGGACCACCATATGCTCATAAGAATCCTCACACGGGACATGTGGTAAGGGATGTCCAGGGTTTCTTTCCATTGTATACTATAAAGTTAACCTTAATGATTATTAGCTTTTGAGACCAGTGCCAGCATAGGAAGGAACTAGATTTAGTTTTGACTTTTCAATCTGTGTTAACGAGCTTCAGTCGCTGAAAAGACAGTACAGTGCTCTTTAAAGTGGGAAGTTCCTTATCCCATTTGGTGAGTCCTTTTGACTAAGCTGGCTAAGAATGAAAGTTAGCCTTCAGTTAAATAGAATAATTGATGAAGTACTTGAGCATCTGCTGTTTCTAGGCACTGTGCTAGGTATTATTAGATATAGGGATAAACAAAAACATAGTCCTTGTCTTCATGGAATTTACATTATTGTACCTCCTGGTCTTGCACACTGAAATACTAGTTTTCTCATATATTCTGTTGTTGAAAACATAGTATAAGTACAGGGAAAAGACAAATAAATAATAACAAAGAAATAGCTTTTATTTTAGCCAAACTTATTTACTAATGAATGCCACAGACCCAGTGATTTACATACATCAAGTGAATTAATAATTTCATAGGGTTTGAAAATAGCCCATTTTAGGATTAGGATACCAAAATTTACTGTATATTTAAAGATTTAATTTTGTCTTTTTTTTCCCCTAGAATTATATCCATGGAAGCAGCCAAGCCCAGTTTGTAGCTGAAACACACATTGTTCTTCTGTTTAGTATCCTATTTGTAATAAGTCCTTGGTGCTGCATTTTGTCTATTTTTCTCACATTCTAGTATTCTCTCTACAGCATTTGGTTGAGGCTGCTTTCTTATTAATGCAAGTTGTAATATCTTTGGAATCATATTACTGTGTCATCCATCTTAGCCCAATCAGCTAAAGACCACCAGGGACAAACCTGCAGTCTGATAAAGCCGGGTTTAATGGATTGTTGCTACAAGCGAGACTGCACATCAGAGGAACCATGGGACATCTTACCCAAGGAAAGAGAGTTATAAGATTTGGGGGAAGGGTGGAGCTTAGGTGAAATGTGCATGAAGCAATGTTTTGATAAGCTCAAAGCAAAACCAGGCTAAGTGTAAAGGGGTCAGCATCAGGTCTGGACTGTGAAGTGGACCCAGGGTTCTGTTTCTGGTAACTACAAAGTTCAGATAAATGTGGGATTTTGTCCTCAGAAACTCCTTACCTGAAGTTCTGTACTTTGGTTGTAAATTGAAGCTACTTAGAAATTGGACTTGTAAACTGGGTGACTTAGATCCTCCAGGCAAGAATGGAATGTTTCCTTCTTACTGGTATAATTTGAATCGGTCTATGATTTTAGAGAACAGCGTTCCTCATTGAGTAAGAAAACGGTAGTTACTCAAAGACAGGGGTTATTTTGACGTTTTACAGCCCAGCATGTCCTAGGGAGAAATATTATTTCCTGTGAACTTTGTAGCTGATTTATATGTGTGTTGTCCAATCCTCTTGAATGGCAGGGCAGATTTTTACTTTTTCAGTCTCAGCTAATTTTTACTTTCTCACATCTGAAAATTCATGCCTCTGTAAGCTGCAAGGATAGGTAACAGTGACATCAGATAGGTAAGAGTCTAAATTTCGTAGTATTACTGAACAGTTTACCCACCTGAATACATGAGCAGTGACTCTGTAGAACCAATCAACAAGGTGAACAAATGTAGTGTTCCTAGAGTTGTGCTTCTCAGCCAAGGGGTCCTGACATTGACATACTGGAATCAGTTGTAGCCCAGCCTGTTAGAGAATCTGCCTAGTGACTTGATGGTAAAGTCATTGACCCTACCTTCTTATTTCGCCATCTAGGTGACTTAGAGGTCACCTAGTTCAACCCTTATTCTATTGAAAATGGGTTGTGCTAGCTAAGAACTTTGACGGTGATTACAGTCAATATGAGTAATTGAATCCATTGAAAATAAGAAATTTTTTTTTTCTGATTGTAAAAGCAATACAGGTTAATTAAAGAAAATTTAGAAAATACAAATAAGTACAAAGAAAAAAATCAAAACTCCTGGAAATACCACCGTTAGTGAATGTTTGTGTCTATCTTTCCCTGTTTTCTTTTACTATGTCAGTGATTTCATAGAGATATTTTAAGAGAAACATTCTGGAAAAGATCAGGCTTTTGGTTTTAATCGAAGGACATTTGGAAAAATGATATTTTCTCAAAACAATGTTCTTAAATAATGTGAAAAATTTATTGCTTACAATCTGGCTCAGAGCCAGGAGAGTTAATCTATTCAGCCATGGAATGGTAGGCTTAAAAGGTTAATCCAATAATGAGTACCGAGTCCCTATGATAAGAAAGAAGATTGAAAGAAAAATATTACCTAAACCTTATGTTCTTTTCAAATCTTAAAATTTATTTTTTTATTCAATTTATTTAAACTAAAAAAAAACAAAAACAGAAACAGTTCACCTGTTTCTCCCATCCCCCACCTCTGGCAACCACCAATCTGTTCTCTGTGTCTATGAGCTTGATTTTTATATATATAATCAGTATATTTTAGATTCCACATATAAGAAAGATCATATGGTATTTGTCTTTCTTTGACTTATTTCAAAATCTAAGTTGAAAATGTTCATTTAGGGGCGTTGTGGTTAAGTTTCCGTGGTCCGCTTCGGCAGCCCAGGGTTCAGGGGTTTGGATCCCCGGTGCAGACCTATGCACTGCTTATCAAGCCATGCTATGGCAGGCGTCCCACATAAAATAGAGGGAGGTGGGCACAGATGTTAGCTCGGGGCCAATCTTCCTAAGCAAAAAGAGGAGGATTGGCAACAGGTGTTAGCTCAGGGCTAATCTTCCTCACCAAAAAAAAAAAAAATGTTTGTGTATGGTTTGGTGGATTAACACATTATACCTTGGAAAAATTTTCAGTATCTGGAAATGGTCTCAATTAATTGTACTTTGAATTACAACAGTGGAGCAAAAGGGCAGTTAAAATTGTAAAATATTAATTAATTGGTTTGTGTTTTGTTGGTCTTTTAGCTTCATCCTAAATTTTTAAATATAATTATAAAAGAAGTTTAAGAAATTGGAATTTTCTTACTTTTTTCTTCTGCCTAAAGAATAGACATTCACTTAAGGTTTCACATATATTTGAATAGATTATGAGCCTGTTAGAATATAGAATTTCTTGTAAATTTGGTTAATAGGATACAAAATGGGGATTTTTTTTCAGGGTGATACCTTTTTCCTTCTTTTGTTTTTGCTATTTTGGTAGTGGTTGGGAAGGTTCAGGTAATATTTTCTGAGCGATTATTTTGCTAAGTGCTGTGAATGCATGATTTGTCTAAGGAGCTTATAGTATTGGGACAAACAGACATTTGTGCAGATTACAAGATAGTGCCTTCAGGACGTGTACTAGGTATGATGGTGAGATAGTGAATAAGGCTATTTAACTTTGTTAGAGATTGGGAACTTTATGGAAGGCTTAAAACCCCTTTATTTTTTTTAGTGGACACAAAGCCTAAAGACTCAAAACTCAAAAGTTACCACGTTGATAAGAATTAATAGAATGAGGGACGGCCCTGTGGCTTAGTGGTTAAATGCGCGCGCTCCGCTACTGGCGGCCCAGGTGTATATCCTGGGCGCGCACCGATGCAC